TTTTTTTTTTTTTTTTTTGGTACCGGGGATCGAACTCTGGACCTTGCGCTTGCAAGGCAGGCGCTGAAACCACTGAGCTAAATCCCTGGCCCACTTGTGATTTTTTTAAAAAGCAGAGGAAGAATTTGCACAAAAGGTAAAGTTTGGCACTGGCCAAGGGATGAGCTTGCTGAGTAACAAGCTCCAATTCAGAACAAATGCTTGTGTCCTGCCACACAAATACACACACCCTACCCCAAACAAAACTTTACAGACAAAATTAATTCAAGCAGAGAATGCACACCCAGCCCACCTCCACAAATAATTTACAAAAAATATTTTAAAATATAGTGCAAAATACACTAACACCATGAAAATTTTCTCACATCACCTGGGTTTCTTCTATCATTCCAATGTCCCCTTACAATTATGTCATGAATTTTGTGTCACAGTTACTCTGCATTTGTCACTGTACTGAGACAACCATTCCCTTTCTTCAAAGGACAGTAATTTTGATTCTTCCCATTAAACCTATGTATATTGGGAGCAGGAGCAAGACTCATCCATTTCTACTTTATCTTCTATAATGCTGCTTAAATAAATGGGTACTTAACAGATGTTGACAGATTAAACCTAGTTCCAACAGGTGTGATAATAATCACAATCACAAAATACCTGTACAACAGATAATATAAATTAAATCAATCTTATATACAGAACAAAGCACATCCAGATTACTTCCCCTGACAATGAGCCGACTGCTGCTCTTTGATGTACCTTGTTCAGAAATGTTTAATAAAAATAATTTTTAAAGTACAATATCTCAACAACTCTTATAAAGCATTATCTTTTTCTGTCACTAAGACCTAAGACAAAAACATTTATTTGGTCACTGGAAAGGTACAAAGTGCCACAGAGAATGTGCACAGAAATGGTGGACAGTCCTAGTTCCCAAGGATTTCAAGGCACGCTCCATAACTTAAGAAATGTCCTGGCAGGTGGGGGTTTAGCTCAGTGGTTTTGCCACCTGCCTCACAATCACAAGGACCTGAGTTTGATTCCTGGTACCAAAAAAAAAAATATTCTGGCAATGTGTAGATATAAAACAGTGCATGTAAGTTGTGCACACACTGCTGTACAACTGTAATTCAAGCTACTCAAGGGGCTGAGGCAGGAGGACAGAACATTTGAGGCCAGCCTGGGCAACCTAGCAAGACCCTGTTTCAAAACAAAAAAATTCTTTTAAAGAATGGGCCATACATCACAGTGGTGTTTGCCTAGCATGTACAAGGCCCTAGGTTCAAACCCTGGGAACAAAACCAAAACAAAACAAAACAAAAAGTTTAGAAAAATACAGAACACATACCAGAAAAAAAACAGGTTGCCCAAGAAATACACCATGGGTATTTTGAAGATAATTCTTTCTGAATTTTCTTTTTATGTGTTGTTTTTAAAAAATTCAAATTTTTCTCCTCTATTGTTTAAATAAGCTAGTAAGTAAACAAAGACAGAAATTTTGAAATTTGTTTTAACCCTCTACTTTCTGAGATGGAAAGGAAAATTAAACCTACAAGCTCACCTAATATCCTTATCACAGAAGATCAGAAGAGAAAAAAAGGACTATACAGTGAAACAATGCTAGACACCATCAAGATGATCACAAAAGATTGTTTTTGTGTCTTTATTTCCTAAAAAAAGAATAATCTTTCAAACATTATTATCTGAAATTGGCTTCCAGTTTCCCAGATATAGTGTCTTTGTTGTTACTACTGAGCCTGGCAATTTATAATGCTCCGCATGGCTCAGAAGCTACTAGATTGAAACTGAAGCAATCAACAAACACTTTTAAAAGCTAGGACTGCTAAAATCAAAAACAAACCTGGGACAGGTGTCTTGACAAATTCACCCTTCCTAAAGAAGTAATTTTAAAAAATATTGTAACTCAGGGGCTGGGGATTTAGCTCAGTGGTTTGACCGCCTGCCTCGCAAGCGCAAGGACCCAAGTTCGATCCCCGGTACCAAAAAAACCCAAAAATATTGTAACTCGGAAGACAAGGTAGGACGAAAAGCTACTTTTGATAATGAGTAGCGAAAGAAAGACTACAGAATAACACACCCAATGCTACTTTGTTTATAAGGTTGTAACTTGTATATGCAAGTATTCTACAAAGCATTGCACAAGGAAGAAACGATGAAAAATGAATGCTTACAGAAAACATTCACTTCTAAATAAGGCCTCTAACAAGTGATACACTGTTTCTAACTTATTCCTGAAACAAGTACTGACAGGTGCAGCATAGTGATAATGCTCAAAATTAAGACCTCATAATTTTTTCACCAACAGTAAAAGTTGCTGTTACTCTTCATAATGCCCACAACTTCAACAGTAGAAATCGATTTTATGGATGCTATCTGCCAAATCAAATTTATTCCCATCAAAAGTTTTTCCCCCTAATTGGATAGACTCTGCCCACCTGTGATTTCCCCTTCCAGTGCCTCAACCAGTAAAGCCCAGGTAGTATTTCCCACAGTTCAAAGGTTAAGGCAAATTCAGTTCTATCTAGACCTCTTGCCCCTCAAAGCATACACTTCAAACCTCTTTCCTTTTCTTTTCTAATGGTAGTCTGGGAGTGGTTTATGGTCCATATAACTCCAAATCCACAAGAAATGCTAAATTCGATTTTTGGGGAGCGAGGGATGGTAAGGAACGACAATGGAATGGTAGGAAAGACCGAGAGCGATCGAGGACCATTTCGCCCTAGAAATCAGCCCCTCCGAATGCAGGAAACGAGCCTATGCCCAAAGAACCTGCCGCCCGGAAGCAACAACTTCCATCAAACGGCAAAGAAAAGTTCCTAGGGAGAGAGCTTAGCGCCCAAGCAGCCTGCGCTAGTGCCGAGACAGAACAGGAGAGCAGCAGACAGTGCAGGCCGGGCCAGCCTGCAGGCGGTGGCTGCGGCGGCGCTGGTAGGGCAGACCCGGGCTCCGGAAGGCTCCAGGTCCGGGGGTGGCCGCCGGCCTTGGGCACAGTGCCGGCTTTCGCACCCCTCCCCACGACCGCGAGCAGTGGGCGGAGAGATTAGAGCAAAGGAAAAGACGGACAATGCCTGGCCGGGCCGGCGACCTCCGTGCGGCCCCCGCCGGCCCGTCCCTACTCGGGCGGCCAGCTACCGGGCTAAGTTTCCTAAGCCCTGCCTCCAGCCCCGGCGGCGAAAGCTCGGCCGCCGCCTTCCTCCCAGCCGGGCGGTTCCCGCGAGTCTGCGAGGAGGAGGCAGCGTGCGAGCCGAGCCGGGCGCGCAAGGAGGCGGCGCGCGAGGTAAGCGGACGCGCGGGGAGCCGGCGGCGCGCGCCGAATGAGGCCGGGCGCGCGCGGGGGGACCCGGCACGAAGAGGAAGGAGCGCGGTGGGGAGTTGGGAGCGCGGGGCTCCCCCGGGACCCCCCGCAGCTCCGACGGGGTTTCAGTTGACTCGGACTGCACCGCAGCGAGAGTCCGTTAGGAGTCTCCGCCTGGGCGCGCAGCTGGCCGACCATCCCGGCCCGCCTCCCCCTCGCTCCCACCAGGAAGGGCAGCCGGGCGAGAGCCAGTGACCTCTCCTCCCGCCAGGTAGGCGAGCATCCCAGCGCCTGCCCCGGGGCTGGAAGAGAAAGTGAAATGAGGCGCTTTTTCCCCCGCGACACCTACCCGTTCCCAGTCCAAGTGCAGCTGCCTTGCTCCTAGGCGCCGCCGGTCCCCGCCCTCGGGCCCCAGGCTCCGTTCTCTTGACAATGGCGCGTCCCCTTTAAGGAATAATCGGATGAGAAGCGATCTGTGGTTAAACCTCCCTCCGACTCCGAATTTAACCGGATTTCTCTCTCCTAGAGCCCGACGGGCGCCCGGCGGTGCTGCGAGCTCTTCCCACCCCTTCCCTGCCCCGCCCACCCCTTCGCCTTCCTGATTGGCGAGAAACCTACAACAGGAACAGGAGTCCCAGCCTTCCAGTGGCTGGACCAGACGCCCTTCAGACTCACCCCGCCTCCGTCCCGCCCCCTCCCCCTGGTTGGCACAACCTCTAATCACTCTCTATCGTCTCCCCTAACGTTGCTTTGGAGAACTGGCACTCAAAGCTCACCCTCCCGCCTCCGGAAAGCGAACTTTATTTTTATTGGCGAAAGCACACCTTCCTGTGCACCTGATTGGGCAAGGAGGAGGCTAATCGGCACGCCTCTTACCTATTATCACTCTCCCTTTACGGATTTAAGAAAACCGCAAAGTCTTTCCTACTTTGCCTTCCAAGCGCCTTTCTCTTTAAATGTTGCTAAAAGTAGAAGACAATTTCGCAGCCTGTATTAAGGGAAGCGGAAAAGAAGAAAGAGAAAGATTAAAAATGCTCTCCAGATGGGTAGTACATCGGAGCTGGGTCTGGCATCCTGCGGATCCTAATCCTGTGGTCTGGTGCATGGAGTGGTTACGTTGAGCTAAAGCACCTGAAATTCTAATATTGACTCCTGAGATCTACTCACAAGCTTTCACTCACCGTTCTCTCCATTCACACCCTTAGTTTCTTTGGCATTTCTCCACCCAGAAGAGCTTTAATAAAGGCGTCTGCGAACCTGAAGCTTCCCTTGTTTATCTCGCGGTCGTTCATTTAGAAAAGCATCTAAGCCTTTCCATTAAAAGTTCCGTTTAGTCACGTCCTTTGCGTCTCTCTGGCGTTTGCACAAGAGGTAAGTTATGATTTTGTGTGTGTGTGTGTGTGTGTGTGTGTGTGTGTGTGTGTGTGTGGAAAGGATGAATACTAATGGTCTCTCCATGCCAGCCTCAAAGTGTAGGACTTTGTCTCTCTTGCTAGGAATAAGGACACCCCAAGATTAACCCAAGCAGGCACCAGAAAGCTATTCTTTTCACTTCTCAGGAACAAACACGGCTCCCCCGAGGAAGACAAACCGTGGCCCTGTGCATCAGAAAGAGATTACAGTTGACTCGGACCATTGGGGTCTGCATTAAGATAGCCCCAATTTCCCACCCAACTGCAAGAACCCACAGGGTTGGTGGTTTTTTTTTTTAATAAAATAAATAATTTTTTCAGCACAGTTATGACTTTGGCACTTATCTAGGAAGTTAAGGAAAAAACGATTAAGAGTGCTCTAGTCTTTGCCAGTGAGCTTGGCTCTCTCAATGGCATCCAATGGTATCAAGGTAACAGTGCTCAGTAAGTACCCCCAGAAGGGAGTTTAGTGCCAGAGAAGGGGAGATACATATAGAAGGTACGTAGAAATTTTCCCTGAGCTCAGGTGAAAACTTTTGTGGATACCCAAAAATATTGAAGAGCGGGAGAGAAAAGGGAATTTTTCCAGACAAGAAAAAAAAGAAGGGGGCCGGGGATTTAGCTCAGTGGTTCTGCTGCCTGCCTCACAAGCCCAAGATCCCGAGTTTGATCCTCGGTACCAAAAAAAAAAAAGGAAGGGACAGTGTTTCCATAGTTTAGATGTCGTTTATGGGAGCAAGAAACCAAAAACTAACTGGTTTTCATTTACATGGCCTTCACATAAAAATATATAAATGCCTTATTGTATACTATGTTAGGTTTAATTGGGTCAATTTTGATTGGCTTGAAACCCAGTGAAGGGATAGGTAAACCACCTTTTGGGTTGTGTCTGGGTAGGTCATGGAGGCATGACGTTTGAGTATTACATCTGGCCCCTATCCACTTGTTCTCTGGTACTGTTCCCCTGCTCTGCTTCCCAACCACTGAGAGCTGAACATCTTTGCTCCATCTCACTTTTCCTCCATGTTTCTCTGTTGGAGCCAGTCCACCATGGATTGAATCCTCTGAGACTGTGACCCACATTAAAACTCCTTTAAATTGTAGATGGCAGAATAGCTAAATAGCTAAACAGCCCAAATGCTCATCAACTGATAAGTTGGATAAAGATGTGGGTCCTTAGTAGTACACCTTTAAATATACAATGGAGTACTACTCTGCCATAAAGAAGGGTGGGCTTCAGACATTTATAACTAAATGGATGGACCTTGAGACCATACTCTTAAGTGAAATAAATCAGACACACATGCTTAAATACTGCATTGTTTCTCTGGCATGAGAAACTGAATGTGGAAATAAGGACTGAGATGTATAATGGATGTTGGGAAATGGGAAGAAAGTGTTCAAATGGGAAGGGGAATGAGGGAGGGAGAAAGGAAGGAAGGAAGGGACAAGAAAAAAGTGAAAATAGAAGGAAAATGGAAACAAAGCTTTTATAAATAGGGGAGGGGGCTTGAGGGTAGGAATGGGATAAAATAAAACAAAATTTTTTAAAAATAACATGAGAGTTCTAGACTAAATAAATTGTAGGTGGCATGTATTTTGTCCAAAATCAGAAAAGCTGACTAATATGTACATCTTTAACTGTTTTCAGTCTATTCCTTTTTATATAGTCAATCTTCCCCTCCATATCTGCAAAGGAATTAGTCCCAGGACCCCACCCCAAAGGGCCCCCAAATCCTCAGATGCTCAAGTCCCTTATATAAAATGTCATTGTATTGGCATATGACCTACACACATCCTCTCACATACTTTAAATCATCTCTAGATTACTTCTAATACTCAATACAATATAAGTGCTATGCTGATAGTTGTTAAACTATATTGGTTTAGTGATAATAACAAGGAAAAAAAAGTCTGCAAGAGCCTAGTACAGACAGCCCCAACTGGGCTAACTACACAGTACAGGTTGGCAACAATATACCCCTCCACCCTGATATTTTCTGTCCAAGTTTAGTTGACTCTGTGGATATGGAACTTGTAAACACAGAAGGCTGACTTGTGGTGGATTTGTTTGTTTTGTTTTTTGGTACCAGGGATCGAACTTGGGACCTTGTGCTTGCAAAGCAGGCGGCAAAACCACTGAGCTAAATCCCCAGCCCCAAGTTTGTTTGTTTTGCTTTGTTTTGTTTTTTGCAGTACTGGGATCAAACTCAGGGTCTTGTGCTTAGAAGGCAGGCACTGTGCCACTGAGCTAAATCCCAGCCCTTTTTTGTTTTTGTTTTATACTGGGGATTGAACCCAAGGTTTTTGCACTGAGCTACATCCCCAGCCTCTTTCTTTCTTTTCTTTTCTGAGACATGGTCTAAGTTTCCCACGCTTGACTCCAACTTGCCATTCTCTAGTCTCAGTCTCCCAGAATGCTGGGATTACAGGCATGAACCACCACTCCAAAGTTGTGTGTGTGTTTAAAATTACAGCCTCTTCATATACTACTCTCAAACCTCCCCCAAAACCCTGGACCCTGAACCCCAAAATCCTGGAACCCAGATCTTTGTGCCAATTAAGCATGTACTCTACCATAAGCAACAGTCTCAGCCCATAGTCTTATTCTGAGACTCTTTGAATCTCTTTGAGACTGTTTCTAGGTTCTAATATTTTACTTTACAATATAACAATGAGAATACACTAATATCTAATATAATTCTCTGGAGATAAAAATAGCCAATATTTCAGGTGTATATACACCTGCAGTTTTGTTCAAGGTCTAGGTGACATTTTCAAGTTGTTTCTAAAACACCTGCTTTATTGTCCTCTTTAGTTCATGATAGATTTATTCTTGTACTTTTGCAGAAGAAACTTTAGCAAGCTAGAACTGGAAGGTACTTTAATTTTTCTTTTTTTGTTGTTGTTTCTTGTTTAATGAAGCCTCAACTACTTGAAATATAAAAAAATCACTGTATACAAATGGAAAAGTGACATGTATTATATCATATTGCTTTTTGTTCATCTTTGTGGTTTAGTGTATTTACTCTCCATGTTTTTCACCTATAAATTTGACAAGCTAGCAAAAAAAGTTCCTTTAACTGAGAAAGAAAAGAGCCACCAAAATATCAAAATTTGTCATGTTTTAAAAGCCCTTTAGTGGCAAGCCCAGACCTAGCAGAAAGCTGAATAATAGACAGTGAGGTAGTCTGTAATTGTACTCTTATTTTTAAGCATGTGTCCCTTACTTAGGTAATTTATTAAATACCAGGATAAAGAAAAGTGTGCCTGAAAACTAAAGTTCTATGGGGTCACAAGTCAAGGTGGTATTGATCAATATTAACAGACTAAGTTATTTCCTAGTTTATAAATAAATTCAAAATATCTGAAAAAAAAACACCTGCTTTATGATAACCAGTTTGTTAATGCCCTATTTTGTACTACCTTATAACTGGACTTTTTTGCCAGGAGGTGGTCTTCAGTGACCTCTAGACTTTCTTTTTTACACTGTAAACAACTATGCTGAGATCATCACCTTTCTATTATAATTTGTTATTTTCTCTTTAAGTGTCTTGTAATTTTCCATAAGCTCATTTATCACACTTTATCCCACACACTCAGATTCCTGGTACCAATACTCCTGTTGATATTTTGTAGTGGGGAGGAATTTAGAAAATCTATAAACCTAGAGCTTACAACATGCAGATTATTCTTAAGAAAGTTCAATGATGGGCTGGGGATTTAGCTCAGTGGCACCACACCTGTCTCACAACAGCAAGGTCCTGAGTCTGATCCCCAGTTCCAAAAAAAAAGAAAGAAAGAAAGTTCAGTGTTACTGAATACAACCCCAGTTCCAATCCTGGAGATCTTTACAGTCTGTGCTTTCCTATTCAGAGAGACTTTATCTCCATATTTTACATTCCCATTTCTAAGCCAGATCCCCATTCTTCAAAAGAAAATATTCCTCCAATGTGCCAATGTGACTATATTCTTATATATAGATCTCTATTAAAGTCTTTTAAAGGGCAAAATACATTATAATCACTATTCTCTCTGTTTCTATACAAACTTACCCCTCAAAGAACTACCATAGTTTTAGCCAATAATTTATGCTACTCAGAATAATTGTTACCATTTCTATTGCAAATTCTTTTCAGTTCACCATGCATTTATATAATAACTATTATGTGCTGAGTTAAGAACAGGGAGAAAATGGGCCAAGGATTTAGCTCAGTGGCAGCACACCTGCCTCGCAAGTGCAAGGTCCTGAGTTTGATCCCTGATCAATAGAAAGAAAGAAAAAGAAAAAGAAAGAAAGAGAAAATGATGAATATGTCTCCATTCTCCAGACAGTATAATCAATCTATACCAATAAGCAGTACAATTTTATTATTTTTTTCTCTCAACATTCATGGCTGGATATCATATATTAAGTAGTGATTTTTAAAGCAAATTAAGAAAATTCCAGTTACTAGAAGCTGTCAACCAAAATCACTTGCCCTGACTTCTTATTATTAATAAGAATGAATCAAAATATCAGAAAATAAGTTCATAGTAATTTGATTATATAAAAAAATTCCAGAAAAGTGTGAGAGGAGGGGGAAGGGAGAAAAAGAGGGATGAATAGAGGATGGTAAATGGGTTAGGGGTACAGTTGGATGGGAAGAATAACTTCCAATGTTTTATAGAGCTGTAAGACAATTATGACTGACAACAATTACAACAGACCCTTGACCTACAAACTCTTATCAGTTACCAAGGGATGGTTGTAACTCAAGTTGGATGTTAGTCAATACAGCTGAGATCTGGATGTTTACCTGGGTACACACTATAGATAACAAGAGGCAGATAAATCTTCCATTAACCTC